TTTTTCTTTGTTTTTGAATCGTTGAACACTTGTTGAAACTATACCACGAATGTGAGGACAAACTTAAATCACAATCTCAGAGATATGAAAACTTGTTGCACACAATTTTGAGACGAGGACTCCTTTATATGCAGAAAACTTGCAAATCAGAACATTTTTTTTTTATGTATTTCTCTTCTAGTTCTTTTTTCTAGTCTTATAAAGACCCCTTTATATAGTCGTGAGGGAATTGTATATTTGTCTTCATGTAATTTTTGAAGAGCATGTGTTAGTCTCATTTTGTCAATTTAACAGACTAGCCCAAATATATTTTGGACTTTATTTAAGTCATATAATTTTAAGTTAAATATTAATCCAACTTAATTAATCTATAGTTTTGCTTGGTCAATATATCATAATTAACGGTTAATTTAAATTTGATAGGAATTTTTCAATAAAATTCATTGTTTGCAATTTTTATTATATATGTTACATTTTTTTTTGCGTGCAATCATGTCATCATAAAGTCAAATTTGATCTCAATGTACTTGACTTGTTAATAGTATTTAAGATTTTTGATACTCAAAATTACACCTTAACAGTCACAAAACTATCATTAGTTCAATACTAATTGAAGCAACATGGATACATATTTGATATGTATGTTGTTGTGTATATATCATAGTAACCAAAGAAATAAATATATTTATTAAAATATTTGATGACTAATATTAAGTTCATACTGTTAGTTTATATTTAATATACATTATTAGATAATAATTGAGAGCATATTAGAATTTATTATATTTATGTATAATATGTCTATTAATTTTCTAGAGTTACATTCATGTGTATGCATAATTATTAATCATGTGTTCTTTTTAGTCTAATTGCAAAATTCTGATTATAGAAATGTGTAGGAAAAAATGTGGTTGTTCTTTTTTTCTTCTTCAATGTGCTAGTTTTAGATCAAATTTCTTCAATTAAATGATTGGTTTACAATTTACATCCTAAATATATTTTAGTATTGATTTAAACAATCAAATCAATCGTTTAAAAATTGATTCATATGATCAAAAGTTAATTTTTTTTAAAGCAAATCTTAATGAATTTTCTTTACATTTCGACTCAATATTTTGATGATAATGAAAATTGATTATATGATTTTCTAAAAAAATATATATGTATAACATATTATCCAACTCAATTTACCCTAAAATTTGCAAGAAATACCGATGATTGAATTTTTAGAGTTAAAATTGTAATAATAAGATCCTACAACTTTAAAATTCAATATCCCACTAGGGTGTGTATTCGATATCCTATTCAGGATTCTCAAATTTTGAGTGTGGTAATACCATAATTAGTAGTTAAAAGTGTATACCAAATATCAATTTTTTAATTTTAATTTGGTAGTTTGGTAGTCAGTAAATTAAACTATAATTTGTCAGGGTTTTATGTAGAATGGAAGTAGTAACTAATTGTATCACAAAGTTGATACTATTTATCAAATTATTTCTATCTTTTTATGTGGAGGCACATAATAGAAGAATAACAAGTAAGAAAACATCAAGAAAAACAATCTGACATAACAAAAAGACAGTATTTGATCAGTTGTTTGTGTTTATTCTTTAATTTTCTGTTATCGAATACCAAATGATACTAATGTCTCAATCCAACCCAAACATAAAAAGCATAGTTGTATAATTTTACTCCCAAATACCCAAATTTTGAAAAATTCTAATTCAATTCGGTAATTCAATAGTTTATATCTTACCCTGCCCACAAGTTACTTGGTAAAAAATTACGATCTACTAATCGACAAAGATCTCTCGACAAAATCTTTAGATCTTTAAAAGTCCTAAGATTTCATGCACAACACAAAAATTGAAATTCAATTATGAGTTTAACATAGAAAACATTTAAAATATATTTAGCATATTAAAACATCGGAACACAAATCTATGACTCTGATATCAATATAGCATGTGAATCGTAAATATCAATTCAAAAGACTTACAAGTTTCTCCACAGCAAAAGTTGTAGCGATCTGGACTTGCCACATTAATCATCAAGAATCCACACCAAGCCGATAAAATTCCTCTATCAACCTAAATATCCTTTAGGAGAGAAATGAGTTTTTCGAACCTAATTACCATCTAATGTAAAAACCTAATTTTTTTTATAACCATGATAGTGTATTTAGAGTTGTATTTATTCATAAGGATTAGGGCTAAGAATAAGAATAAATTAATGGGCTAATGGGCTAATTACATTTCTTATGAATAGACTCAATCCAATAATTATTTACAATAGTCCTCTACTACCAGAATCGGTGGAGGTAGGTTATGGTTTATGCTATTTCATAGTAAACTCTTAATAGCGAATGATATGTGTTGGGTGGTATTGTAAAGTTTTCTATATGCTTAATTGTGTGCTTGCATGATGTGATTATATAATTGTGATAAAATAAGCATGATGAGGCTGTTGAATCTTAAACCTAAAAACCTCTTTGTTAATGATGATGCCTTGGTATAAAAGAAGGCTTGATGAACTAAAAGAATGAGGTTAGTGGATCGGGTGTCACGTTTCGACACCAGGATAGTATTAATGGATCGGGTGTCACGTTCCGACACCAGGATAGTATTAATTGATCGGGTGTCACGTTCCGACACCAGGATAGTATTAATGGATCAGGTGTCATGTTCCGATACCAGGATAGTATTAATGGATCGGGTGTCATGTTCTAACACCAGGATAGTATTAATGGATCGGGTGTCACGTTCCGACACCAGGATAGTATTAATGGATCGGGTGTCACGTTCCGGCACCAGGATAGTATTAATGGATCGGGTGTCACGTTCCGACACCAGGATAGTAGTATGAGGAGGATCGGAGTGTCACGTTCCGACACCAGGATAGTAAAAAGAATGAATCTTGAATTATGTTAATATACTCAATTTAATGAACCTGATTTCCAAATGAGTATGGTGTGGAGGCTTGAGACCTTATAGATGTGCTTGGGTTGTGGCCAATGGTTATGGTACTTGTTGTTGTTACCTGTTAAGTGTTATGGTTGATTTTACGTTATTATCTGATATATATTGTTTTCTATTTTGAGTTGACCAATGATATCTACTCAGTACTTGTGCTTGTACTGACCCCTACTTGTATGTTTCTTTCTTTGTTATTTGTGGAGTGCAGCAAACGTACTGTCGTCTTCAACTCAACCTCAACTCTAGCCAGTCTTCATCACGTCAGATTTCAGGGTGAGCTATTGTTCCTAGCTCGGACTGGATTCTCTCTCATTCATGTCTTGATGTCCTTGAAGTTCGGACATGGACCATCTCTTTTATTTGTTTTAGCTTCCTAGACATTCTTAGATTTAGTAATTTGAGGATAGATGTTCTTGTGGTAACGACTTCCAGATTTTGAGGATAATAATAAGTTTTGAGTTTTAGAAGTTATTTATTGATTTCGTTAATGAGTTTTAAGTCTTCCGCATTATATTTTGTTCATTATGGTTCAATTATTGGTAAATGATTTGGGGTTTAGATTGGTTGGTTCGATCACATAGTAGGATAAGTGTGGGTGCCACTCGCGGCTCGTTTTGGGTCGTGACAAACCACTATATACATAACTTTGTAATTTGTATATAAATTACACTACCTGATGTTCCCGATATTCTTCATTTGTCCAGTTCTGATGAGGCAGATTCAATCTCTTCTGAATCAATGTTTATGACTTTTCTCTTACTTCCACCTTCAACAATTTTAATGCCGCTAGATTTCGTGTTGTTGATGACTTTATGAATTCTTCAATAGATTGTTCAACTTAAACTTGTTTATGTTTTGCCATAGACCCTACATTAACCCAGAATCCTGAGTTAACCCAATTGAAACAAAGGTGGATTATCAACAACATTGACATGCAATGATATACCTCTCGTAATCCTCATACATGGATAGAAATCATCTGTTCTGATTTTGAAAGACTTGTAATCTGATAAGTAATAAAGATTTTTTAAAAAAAATATGAAAAAACTAATAATCATACTACATATACAATTGTTATAGAAGGAATCAAGAAAAAAAATATTGAAAGCCATGAATTTGGCGGTTACCTATGAAAAGTGGAAGAACATGGAGAGAGAAGGTCAAAATTTTCTCAATGGAAATTCAAATTAAAAGGGAAGAGTAATTTTAGGAAAATATATGGAATGAGAATAGGAGAGATAAATTTAATTTTAAATAAAATTATATAAATATCTTTGGATAACTATTTTTATTCTGTATACAGATAGATAGTGATCCCATTAATTATGGCAAAAAAATTAAAACTGTATTTACTAACCGTAAATAAATTAAATTATACCCTTATTAACTAATTACATAGGTATTGAAGATAATAGTTAGATAGCAATTAGTTGTTAGTTAAAGTAGTTAGTTGATACAACTATACAACTCATTAGTTAGTTGTGAGAATAAATTGGTTATAACTGTTTTACTGATTTGGTTATGATCATGTTTTAGTGATGTATATATACATGTAAATACTGATCTTATCAATACACAACAAACTCATTTTAATACATTCTGTTATTCCTTCTCTTCTCTTCTCCTATCTTCTCTTCTACGCATCACACTCTTCTCTGCACACACCTGCACACAAACCTCCATTGAAGGAGTTGATCAGCTAAGTAGTTGTGCAGCTGAGTCTTCATTGAAGGTGTTAACATGGTATCAGAGCAGGTTGGTGAATCAACAACAATGGCAGTCGATCTTGTCATTCCTTACACGCATCCTCTTTATTTGCATCCATCGGATACTCCAGGGTCTGTTATTTGTCCTGTTAAGCTGACATGATCAGAAAATTATAGCTTATGGAGGAGAACTATGTGAATTGCTTTACAAGCTAAGAGGAAACTAGGTTTTGTATTGGGAACCTGTAAGAAGGCAAGCTTTGAAACTAAGTATCATGATCAGTGGGATACTTGCAATGCAATTGTTCTCTCATGGCTTATGAACACTGTGTCTTCCAATCTCTTAATTGACATTGTGTATGCATCTGATGCATCATTAGTCTGGGAAGATCTCAAGGAACGATTTGATAAGGTTAATAGTGTGAGGATTTATCAGTTACATCGAGAGATTGCTACAATTGCGCAAGGGATTGATACTGTTTCAGTCTATTTTACAAAGTTGAAGGAACTGTGGGCAGAGTATGATGCAATGGTGATATTTCCAAGCTGTGGATGTTCAAAGTCAAAGGATTATGTTTAACATTTACATCAACAACGACTAATTCAATTTCTTGCAGGCTTGAATGAATCACATTCGCAGGCTAGGAGGCAAATTCTCATGAAAACTTCTGAACCAACTCTTAATCAGGCATATGCCATGATTGTTGAAGAAGAGAGTCAGAGGTCTGATGTAAATCATAACTCTCTGGGAATGAAAGCCATAGCTGAAGGAAATGATGTTACAGCTCTTTGGACTGCTAAACATCCACCAAAGATTCGATACAAGTCTCCGAATGCCTTCTGTGATCATTGTCACACAAAAGGCCATGTAAAAAATGATTGTTTTTAGCTTATAGGGTATCCATCTTGGTATAAAGGGAAAAAGAAAGATGGAACTAATATGCAGCATAATGTACCACCTGCTTTAAACCCGAGTATGATAATCGTAATGTAGGGCCTTCTTATAGAAATTTGTCACTTTCTCACAATCATAATTCTGCAGGAGAAGTTCACAAGTCTATTGGAGGAAATGATCACACAGGAGTTGGAACACATGCTCATGGTTATGGTGGATTACATGGATCTCATAATTGTTCAGGATCCAATATTACTGCTGACATGTGTGTTCATGGATATAGATCTACAGGATTATGTAGTCATGGAGGAGCTGGTGTTAACATGGATTTTACAAGCAATCAACTCAGCTATCCTTAACTAACACTGCAGGTATTGTTAACTGTTCAGTAGTACATAGTTCATCTAGCCATAGATGGATAGTTGACACAGGTGCAACAAATCATATGTCTTCTTCTCCAGACTTGCTCTATGATACTCAACTTCTGCCTACAACTGAGTACAATAAGGTTCATTTGCCTAATGGTCAAAAAATACCAATTGTTTTTAGTGGGAAGTCTAGATTGACACAAGGAGATATATCTCATATTCTATATATTCCAGATTTCAAATACAACTTATTGTCAGTTTTTGAGCTGACTAAAGAACAGCATTGTTGCATGGTGTTTTATCCTGATCATTGCATATTGCAGGACCTTCACACTGGGAAGGTGAAGGGGACTGGTAGCATGGAAAATGATTTGTACTATTGGTCACACATTGTTTCTCCAACTGTTGCTTCTTCTGTTTCTCCTTCAGCTGCTTTGAGTACATTGGATAATGTTATTTTGTGGCATAGAAGATTAGGACATATTCCTCACAAGGTTCTTCAGCATATGCAAATACCACACATCTCTAGTTCTTCAAAATTAACATCATGTCCAATATGTCCTTTGGCCAAGCAAACTAGACTTCCCTTTCCTCAAAGTTCTACTAGAGCTGATAATGTGTTTGATTTGATTCATGCTGATGTTTGGGGTCCATATAAATTTCCTACTCATGATGGAAATAGATACTTTCTTACTCTGGTAGATGATTGTAGTAGAATGATATGGATCTTCCTCCTCAAATATAAAAGTGATGTATCCATTGTATTGAAAGACTTTCTTCAGCTAATACAAAGGCAATTTGGTGGTTATATCAAGATATTTCGAAGTGATAATGGTACAGAATTCTTTAATTCTCATTGTAGTGAGTTGTTTAGAACAACAGGTATTGTTCATCAAAGCTCTTGTGTTTACACACCTCAACAGAATGGGGTAGTAGAAAGGAGACACAGACAGATTCTAGAGGTTGCTATAGCTATTCGATTTCAAGCTAATTTGCCTATCAGATTTTGGGGTCTATGTGTTCAAAATGCAGCTTATTTGATTAACAGAATACCATCTACTGCATTGTCAGGAAGATCTCCTTTTGCTGTGTTTTTTGGCAAAGAACCTTCTCTACATCATCTTAGAGTTATGGGTTGCTTATGCTATGCTGTCAATCACCATACTCATGGTGATAAATTTAACACAAGATCCATCAAGTCTGTGCTTATGGGCTATTCTACCACACAAAAGGGATACAAATTATATGCCTTATCTACTAAAACCTTCTTCATTAGTAGAGATGTTATATTTAGGGAAGATCAATATCCATTTCAGCATATTCAAGATGAGCCCTGTGATTCTTCTTTTTTTGAAAACTCTGATATGTTTGTTTATGATGATTCTCCTACTATCCCTTTACATGAAGCATCTATTACTTCTCCAGATCAAACCTCCAAAACAATTGACTCATCACCTAGTCCAATCTCCCAACCTTTTGACACTTCTACTACTACTGACCTTAGAATGTCTACTAGATCTTCTAAACCTCCTGGATGGTTACATGACTTTGTCCATACTGCTACACACAGTCCTACACATTCCCCTACTTGCTCTACTGCTCACCCTTTATCCACATACATGTCCTATTCCTCCATTTCTACACCATATTTTCAGTCACTGTGTAATTTTTCAGCTATACCAGAACCTACTTCTTACAATGAGGCTGTGCAACATTCACACTGGATTCAAGCTATGGAGCTAGAACTAAAGTCATTACATGATAATCATACTTGGGGTCTAGTATCATTGCCTCTTGGGAAGAAGGCTATTGGGTGTAAGTGGGTTTACAAGGTCAAGTTTAATGCTCAAGGTGAGGTAGAGAGGTATAAAGCTCGACTTGTAGCTAAAGGGTATACACAACAAGAAGGATTGGATTATCAAGAGACATTCTCTCCTGTTGTTAAAATGGTAACAGTGAGGGTAGTACTCTCTTTAGCTGCTATGCATGGTTGGTTTCTACATCAAATGGATGTTTTTAATGCCTTTCTACAGGGTGACTTAGTTGAGGAAGTGTACATGGTTCCTCCACCTGGCTTCCTACAACAGGGGGAGTCTAAAGTCTGTAAGTTGAACAAATAACTTTTTGTCTTGAAGCAGGCTTCTCGACAATGGAATTTGAAGCTTAGTGAGGCACTTATAAGTTCTGTTTCACTCAGAGTCACCATGATTATTCCTTATTTACCAAATGTTCTGGTTCTGATTTGGTTCTTATCCTAGTTTATGTGGATGATCTTCTGATCAGTGGTTCTTCTTCTCAATTGATTCAAGCCACTAAACTCATGTTGAACACTCATTTCAAGATCAAGGACCTGGGGAGAAGAGATACTTCCTTGGTCTTGAAATAGCAAGGAACAAAGGTGGTATTATGGTAAGTCAAAGGAAGTTTGCCTTGGACCTTATTTCAGATTTTGGTCTTGCAGGCACCAAACCAGTTGGCAAACCTTTGGAAGTTAATCAAAGGTTAACTAGTCAAGATTTTGACATGAGTTATGAAGCTCAAGATAAACATGAAGACATAGTTCTTGATGATCCAACTGCTATCAAAAACTAGTTGGTAAGCTGCTATACCTCACCATGACAAGGCCAGACATTAGTTATGCAGTGCAGAATCTCAACCAATTTATGCACAAACCTAAGAAGTCACACATGGAGGGTGCATTAAGAGTAATAAGATACTTAAAAAATGCACCAGGTCTGGGAATTATGCTGACATCAAAGGTTTGTAAACAACTTTCAGTCTATTGTGATGCTGATTGGGCTACATGTCCTATGACAAGAAGGTCTGTTAGTGGTTTTGTGGTGAAAATTGGAGATTCATTGATTTCATGGAAGTCGAAGAAACAAAATACTATGTCAAGAATTTTTGCTGAAGAAGAATACTGAAGCATGACCAATGCTGTATCAGAAGTGGTGTGGTTAATAGGGTTGTACAAAGAGCTGAAGATAGAGTTGGAATTACCAATTAGGTTGTTTTTTGATAGTAAAGCAGCACTCTAAATTGTTGCTAATCCTATCTATCACGAAAGAACTAAACATATAGAGATTAATTGCCACTTTATTCGAGAGAAAATACAAGAAGGACTCATTCAGACAGAGCATGTGCCTTCAAGAATGCAGCTGGCTGATATACTAACAAAGAGTTTAGGGAGAACTCAACATGATTTCCTATTATCCAAGCTGGGTGTATACAACTTATTTGCACCATACAGCTTGAGGGGGAGTATTGAAGATAATAGTTAGATAGCAATTAGTTGAGTAATTAGTTGTTAGTTAAGTAGTTAGTTGATACAACTATACAGCTCATTAGTTAGTTATGAGCATAAATTAGTTATAACATATTTTACTGAGTTGGTTATGATCATGTTTTAGTGATGTATATATACATGTAAATACTGATCTTATCAATACACAACAAACACATTTTAATACATTCTGTTATTCCTTCTCTTCTCTTCTCTTCTCCTATCTTCTCTTCTACACATCACACTCTTCTCTGCACACACCTGCACACAAACCTCCATTGAAGGAGTTGATAAGCTAAGTAGTTGTGCAGTTGAGTCTTCATTGAAGGTGTTAACAATAGGGATGTTTGTCATCCCATGTAATTTTCCCTAATAAATATTCATTAGTTATTCAACCATCCGGCCCGCTCCGCATAGATCCGTTCTCGCGTGATTCGCTCGCCTCACATAGTTTTATAATATACTTTTTCTTGTATCTAGCTCGCTATTCTAGTTATGTTATGTTAAATAAAATCTCTCATGGTTATTTGATAGCATGCTAATTAAGATAATGAATATGTTTGAACTAAGTTTTGGGCTACTAATTAGAATTGTGAGAGTATTTTAATAAGATATAACTTATTTTAGCGCTTTTGATTTATATTTGCATGTGTGGTATGAAATGTGTGTTCTTTCCTATGAAGCATATGCATTTATTTCATAAGATAATGTTGTATAAGTGAATGTTCAAATACCATATGTATCTTGATTGAATTTCTTGATCTATTCAATAAAATGTGAATTCACATATGGCCTCTCACAATAGATTAAGTGAAACTTATTTTCATCTGAAAAATACTAAATGATTTTTGTCATTTATGGTACAATGCTAAAGATTGTAACTCATATGATAATTGTCATATATGATAAATTGCTTAAAATCTCATCTCATCTCCCATTTATACCAAAGTAATAGAGGTTGTCAGATGTGTGAGAATGCTAACTTCTATTTACCTGACATATTTTTCGCCAACATCAAAAAATACATCCAAAACATTTCATAATATGAATACACAATAAACATTAATAATAGTAAGAATGTGATAGTGTTCAACTACACATCATATGAATCCATGTGTAAGCATATGCTAGTAATATATAACTCAACTTATGAGGTTGGGGCTCCACAAGAAACAATGTAAAGACGATTGAAGAAACAAATAATTACAGGCTAGTAATTTGAATTCGAGCAAACAATACAAATATTTTCGGGAAGGTTTCGGTGACAATTAAGGATATGAGATAAAAGATAGCAACACAAAGACCTCGTCATCCAAGGAGATTTGGGAATGGAAAGTCAATCA